GACACCTGATATCAGACTTGAAACGTCAAGTGGAAACAGAACTTATTCAGCATCTTCATTTATACACAATTTACAATATTTGATTCAAAATAAAAATCACAAGAAAAATACATCTGTTTCTGCTACAATTCCTTCCCCTCCCTCATCCACCCTCCCCCCAGTGAAAAGTCTTCTAATAAAAGGTATCATATTACCACCATTGTCCTGTTTTGGTCTAATTCTGAGATCCCAGCTTGGGATAGTTAACATGGAAAGGAATGGCAATACTTGGGATTTATATAACGTACACATTTTATCCAAGGATCTCAAGTGCTTGCAGTCACGTCTCCAGATCTGAGAAATCACGGTTCAATGGAAGCCAGAAAGCTGGACGAGTGCTGGGCAGGTTGCATGGGGTGTAAAATCCCTTGGCTGTCTATGATCAAACAAGGTCAAAGTTGGTTGGCTAGAGTTGGGCTCAATTTCTCTTCCCAAACATATACTATCAGGCAGTCAGTTTTACCCTCTCATAAACCACACACGCATCTCTAGGCTATTACCTAGAGTTAAGACCAACTGAAGAAGCCATGTCCTCATGACTGCACATCAAGATAAAAAGCAAAAACAGGGAAACACATTCATCAGCATCTGGCCAAAGGAGACAGGGGTTGGGAGAATCAATCTGGGAGGCCATTCCTAGCAAGAATGAGACAAGGGTGTCAATTCACTAAGTTTCAGTTACAGTTATGCTTTTGGTGGAGTTGATTCCAGCAGAGGTGAAGCTCATGGCATCTAGCGCTTCATTTAAGATAATGCTATTGAAGAAGGGTAATGAGAAAACACAGCAAACTAACAGGGAGGAACTGGCCAAGGAATATCTGGAGGGCCAAAGTGATTTTTTCTTTCCTTATCATTTCTATAGGAGAAGGCAAGGGGTAGGAGAAAAGGGCTAGAGGGCCCCTTAATTGCAGATTTTTTTGTTAAAAAAATCATTTTCCTCATAACTCCGTAATGAAAATGTATATTACGGTATGAAGGTTACAGAACTGCATCTGCTACTGGGTCACGGCTACAGGTCTATGAGCTGATCCACCAGCAGTAAAGACCTGGCTAGGTTGGGAAGACTGGACTCAGAGCTCCCACTGCTGTTTCTAGAGTGCCCACCTGGAAGTGGAGAGATAGGAATTCAGTACAAAACACAGAGGGTTAAGGTTTAGATGTGCAGAGCAAGCAAAGGAGAAAAAACTAAACAACAACAACAAAAAACCTAGAGAAGCAACATTTTACATTTGCAAACTCTTACATGTTGATCTGTAAACATATAAATTAGTTCTCCACCACCTCCCACCAGAAGTGCAGGTGTTTTGTGCATACCATACTCTAGGCAGGACACCTTGCAAAGAAGACGCTATTTTCAAATCAATACATATTTTGCCCGAGAATTGCTGGCTATACACTAACTTACTGGAAACATCAAGCCATCTCCTTGATAAAGTGAAAAATTAGTATTTTTTTGCTTTGGGTGAAATTAGTTATTAAGACACTGCAATAGGAACGTGTTTTAAAGAACATGTAGGTGGTCCGATGGCAATTCAGTGTTTCATGGCATGTTCAAATAATTTTAATCTATCCGAGAGGAAAAAAGAATGTTCCATAAAGGTTTAAAAGATGTGGATGATACCAAAGCACCTCTAATCTCTTTGGGAAAAATATTCATCACAGATTATTCTAATTGTGGCAAAATACATTAAGTGCTTTGAACACACACCTTCAGGTTTCCACTGAGAGTATTTTTGGCTCGACACCTTGTAAAAACTAGCTTTTAGTCAAACTATTACTTCTTGCTAAATAAACACCACAGTCGAGCTTTAAGACACCCACACCAGCATCTCTGTCTGTCTATTCTAATCTAGCACACAGTGACTGTCATTACCCCCAATATCCTTTGTTAAAGGTCGCTGCGTTTCTCCCCCTTGCAGGTTAAGTACATTACTATTTTGAAAGCACTGAAGTCAAGTTCTTGTCTTTTCCCCATCCTCTTTCTTACCTTGTGGGTTTTTGGTTATCAATACAGGAATAGGGTCAAACTCATCTTCTGTCACCTTGTCCGAGCCCTCAGGGACATCAAAACCTGAGATGAGATTACTATCTTCTGCAGCTTAATACAGAATGCAAGCACACAAGCAGAAACAACAGAGGAAGAGATTAGCAAAGGAGAGAACGTGAAAGAGGCACAAAGTTCCCAACTGGACAATCACTGCCATTTTTAAAGGCTAACGTACTTATTTTTCTGAGTTGAAATAAAAGTAGTGAAACTGGAAAACAGGAAGACAGAGGGAAAAAATGCTTTTGAGTTGGCTATGTTAAAACTTTCATAAATGATTAGAGAGGTGGGTTGCAGGAAGAATTCTCTCTACCATTTATAAGACCATTAACTGTAATTACGGTGAGGTATCTCCTCAATGTCATTAATTCACAAAGACATAGGAATTAGTCCCTTCAACATTTTTACTGAACAAACAGAAACCTAACTAACAAGCTCTGAAAAACCCAAAGCCAGTGGTGGAAGAACGGGGAAGAGCAGTATGGCTCTTTCAGAAGTAACCATTGTATCTAAGTGAACAAAATACTTCTGGAAAGACTCACTGCTCTGCAACCAGGAAAAAGGTCTTTCAACTAACTCAGATGCCCCAGAGAACACAAGATCACATGGACTGAGACTTCAAGCCCCAGTTTGATCAAATATTCTCCATTCTAATTAAAACTGCTCTACCAGCAAGTGCTAGCTGAGCACCTATTCTGTGAGTGATGCTTTTCTGTAATTACACATTGCTGCTGACACGTTCCTGCCAGACAGAACTGTTTACATTGGTAACTTCTCCCTACATATTCTGTAAAAACATAATCACTTCAGTGCTATCAGGGGTAAAGACAAATAACTCAGCTATTACTACTGTAAACCATGGGCTAATTATTTTTATTCTTCTCACAGAGGTTTCCAGATTTAATGAAACCTTTTTAATTTCCTTTAAAAGGGACTTAGGCTATTTCTTTTCTTTTAAAGAATTATTTTATTTAACTTTATTTATTTATTTTAATTTGGCCAGAGCAGGACAGGATGAGAGGAAGGGAAAGTGAGAAAGCAAGCAGCCAGGTCTGGGACTCAAACCATAGTTGGTCATATGGGAGTCCAGTCCCTTTAACCACCACGTCACCTGCAGGTCCCTAAGCTGTTTACTTTCTATACCTTTTTTCCTTCCAGAAAATAACTTTTTACTACCCAAGCACAGAAATAAGTTAAGTAAATGTCCATGCACAGTAAGCCAGGCATAGCGCCTATCACGGTCATAAGCTACTCATAAAACAGAACTCAATTCAAGCTATTGCAGTCCAGCAGAATTTTAAACTATCATTAACCTGAGACTAAAAAATAAAAATGGTAGATTAGAGAAATCCACTGGTTAATCATAACTTAAATCATAACTTAAAGGTGAACTAAAGTTCTCCTACATGAGGAATGGTCACACTACAATCCCTTCTCCTCCATTTCTCTCTCCATTCGAGACTCTAAGGTAGTATGGGCATGGACTGTTTCTCAAGCCAGGGGGTCTAGGACTTGAACTGCAGTTGGCCATGGCCCAAACCACCAGAACATGAAGCTGGCCTGATGCCTCTTTCTGTATTATAATAATTTCTATTCAAAATTTTTGAGTCAGAGTTGATAAAATAATTTCAAGTTCTAAAGTCAGTGTGTACCATATTAATGATACACATGGTAACATGGAATAACAGCACTTCAATTTCTCACCAGAGAAACTGGTGCCCACACCAATCTGCTGTCTAAGTCTCACTAAACATTCTTATTGATAGGTTATATTATATATAACCTATGTAACCTATATAATATATTATAATACAGTGGCTAAGAATATAAACTCAAGCTTTCCATATAAGGAAGTGGTTAAAAACACTTCATTAACAAAGGCTTTTGATAAGGAAGACTTAGGAATTGTTCAGTTCTTCTCCTCAAAGAATACAAGTAGGCCCAAGAAGAAGAAAGCATTTACCTTTATGGGCTGGAGCAGAGATGGCTATGGGGGCAAACTCTTCCAGAAGGTCAGTAGTAGGATTAGAAAGCAGAGAGCAATCAAGCAGGGAATCCTCCCCGGTGAGAGAATCTGGGTCCATATTAACAGCATCCCAGGTCAGTGATGGCATTAATGGCACATACAACAACACGTGAGATTAGATCTTAGCCTTAAGTTATTGCATTTACATGTGATATACACAAGACAAAGTGGGAGAGAGAACATCAAAAGAAACACATTAACCCTCTGGCTTTCCCACCTCCAAAAACATGTATTTCTATATTCTTCTTAACATTAGTATATATGTTTAGGAGAAATTTTTGCTCAGAAGCTACTGACTAAATAAGTCTATGATTTACATGCCTATATAACTTTAGGTACTCAATTCTCAGCACATACTATCTGAGAAAAAGGACTAAACAATTTGAAAGTTGCACTTAAAACTTTCTCTAAATATTAGGGACCAGCAGTTAGCGTAATGGCTATGTCACTGAACTCCCACGTAGTTGATCGCAGGTCGAGTCCTGGACCCGGTGGCTTAAACTCACGCCGGGCACCTGTGCATGCGTGCCCAAGATCCCGAGAGGAGAATGGTGGAGAAGGGATTGCGTGCGGCCATCCCCCCTGGAGGGGTGATTTCTTGCTTTCTGTCTCTCTGTCTCTCTCTGTCTGGCAAGTGCATGCGTCCTATAGCAAAAACCTCTCCAAAAAAACAAAACAAAACAAAACCTTTCCCCAAATATTTATGGAAGAAAGTTACTATAAGATGAGGTATTCGAATGGAGTAAGAGAGTTTGACCTTGACTTATTATTAGTAGAATGTGATAAGATTAAACAGCACTTCCTAGAATTCAACCTGATTCCCATTTGAAATGGGATGCTTTACTAATATTCTTCAAATTTGAATTGCTCCTTCAAACACAAAATTCTGCTTTCAGTTAAAGAACAGAAGGAAGGGGGCTGGCGGTTGGTGTGATGGTTAAAGTGCTGGACTCCACTTAACTGACTGCTGTTCGACTCCCAGACTTGGTGGCTTTCCCTTTCTCTCTCTCTGGTCAAATTAAAAAATAAATAATAATAACAAAACTATATAAATAAATATTTTATTTTGAATGTTATTATAATTCGCCAGAGAAACACAGAGAGAGAGAGAGAAAGGGAAAATAATAAGAAAGCAAGCTGCCAGGTCCAGGATTTGAACTGTGGTCAGCCATGTGGGAGTCCAGCGGCTTAACACCATGCCACCTGCTGGTCCCAATAAATAAACCTTAAAAAAGAACAGAAAAAAGAAAAAACTCAAGAGTTCAAGTTTTTTAATACGGGAATTGTTTTTTGGGAACATTTTCTAAGAAATAAATCATCCAAATGAGGACAAGATAAAGAATCATATTGTCTCTTGAGATAACTTTATTTTCCATGAATGAATTTACCCTCACAATTCCTAGATTTCTAATAGTCTCTATTCCAAGTTGGAAAATTAGACACTTCTACTTTTCTATTTTTCTGATTTTTAATTTGCTATACAGTGCATGTGCTCACTAGAGAGACAGAAGCAAAGTGAGAAAGCACCCCTCAGGGAGAATAACCACACTGCAATCCCTTTTCCTTCATTCTGCTCTTGGGATTTTGGGCACACACACACACGTATGTAGTGTGTTTTTCAAGCCACTGGATCCAGGAATTGAACTGCATAGTTGGCCATGTGGGATCTAGTTGTCTTAACCACCTTGCCTCCTGGCTGGCCTTGGACACTTTTATAAAGGTAATTATGGACTCAATAAAAAGGAAGGCTATCAAATCTCTACTTATGAACAGTTAAGGAATTCTACTAAAATCAAATTTTGAAATGAGGGTGAAAGTAATGCTGGACCCAGGGAAGATTTCGACTTGGCCTACAACTTAATAGCAAATCACCTATATGTGATTAAAGTACCGTGTTGGCGATAGGATGGCAACACACAGAAGGTAAACCCCACGGACATCACTGGCATGGTTATGGAAAGACTGCTCAGCAACCTGGGGGAGGTAGGGGCATCCTTACAACTCAGCCGAGTTATTTATTTATTTATTTGTTTGTTTGTTTGGAGAGGTTTTTGCTGTAGGGGTGCATGTGCTTGCCAGAAAGACAGAGAGATAGAAAGCGAGAAATCACCCCACAGGGGGGATGGCCACGCCGCAATCCCTTCTCCTCCATTCTCCTCTTGGGATCTTGGGCACGCACACACATGCGCATAGCGTGAGTTTCTTTCTTTTTATTTAAAAATTATTTATTTAATATTATTACTTTTTTTTTTTTTTTAATTTGACCGAAGAGAAAGTACTTATTTATTTATTTTAATTTGACCAGAGAGAAAGAGAGAGGAAAAGTGAGAAAGCAAGCCTCCAATCCGGGATTTGAACCATGGCTGGCCATGTGGGAGTCCAGCACCTTATACACCACATCACCTGCCGGCCCTGCCCCCAGTGTGTGTTTCAAGCTGCTGGGTCCAGGACTCAAACCAAGATTGACTACATGGGAGTCCAATGATATAACCATTTCACCATCTTCAGCAGTTTTTTTAAATTTTTACTTTATTTATTTATTTAAATTTGACCAGAGAAGGACACAGAGAGAGAGAGAGAAAGAGAGAGAGAGAGAGAGAAGGAAAATGAGAAAGCAAGCCATTAGGTCTGAGACTTGAACCATGATCGGCCATGTGGGAGTCTAGTGCCCTTAACCACGACCCCCAAGTTTTTAAATTAAGGAACTGACAGGAACCTGTCACCATTGAAGAGATCATTTTACAAAGAACATGACTCCAAAAAGTACTCAATACTTTAGCAAGGAAACATATCACTTAACACTGGAAGCTGGGGTTGGGAGGACAATTTAGCGCATCTATTCTGGGAAGAACTAAGCAGGCTGCACAACAAAGCTCAGGCTCATCTGCCACAGGACAGACTGGCTCTGAGTGCTCACCACGCTGACCCATCCCGGAAGCTGCAGATACACCTGACTGACCTGTGCGGTTCGAGGTTACAGATTCCGTCTGAGATGGGAGGCGCTGGGGGACCGGGGCCTCCAGTCCTGGGATGAGACTCTCAACAGCGACATCAGCTTTTTCTTTTGTTACACAGCATTAAGAGAGGAGAGGAAAGGGTAAAGGAAAGGAAGTCAGAAGGTTCTTTAGGAAATTCAGTAATGGCTTTCTTCTACAGGTCTCTAAAACACCAGTCTCAGACAAGAAGAAAAACAAGTTATTTCTGCCATTCTGAGTGATTGGGCTTCATGGACTGAGCATGCACATGCAAGGTTAGCCACTGGGGCCAGTCTCAGTGATGATCAGTTCTTACAGATAAATGTGGAACACAGGCCATTCAGCTACTCTATCCATGTCAGACTGACTGAAAGGTGCCTTACTTTCTTTGGGTAATTTTGCTTTTCTTAAGGAATAAACACACTTTGTACCATCAAAGACTGAGTCCACCTTGAACCCTGACTGATGATGTGGCTGAGAGATGTTCTGTCTGCACCATGTGACACCTCTCAGCTGGAGGCCTCTCTGTATGATTGTGACATTTCTGCGTCTTAGGCCTTTCTGACCAAAGACGTTATTATGTCTGTAATGACTGGACCTTCCCGGAGTATAAGGGCCTTTGACATTGTGTAGGTCTTGTCTGCCTTGCTGCTGGAGCACAGGAGAATATGAGAAAGTAAGCAGACCAGCCTCTCCTTAGATCCTATCATGGGGCTTCACCATTAGGTGCAGCATCGTCAGTTACAGATACTTGGTACACACTCAATTCTGCTGAAGAATCTGCAAAATTTCATTAAATTCAGTAACAATTAAGGCCCGTTAAAAATCAACTTTTTTCCGTGAACTTTTAGAATTAAATAGGAATGTTCCACATGTCTCATTCAAAAGAAATTCATTCTAGATAGCTGGAAAATAACAAATAAAAGAGCAAAATAACAGCCCTGTACTTCTGGGAAGTATAGAAAAACAGTTCATTTGGAGTGACAACAGCCTTGGCTTCTGGGTTAGCACAAGGCATAGCTCTCAGACCAAAGCATAGCATTTCCTAACATTCCTACTCTTCACCAGGACTAGTCACTGAGGATGTTAACCAGGTACATATCATTCTTGAAACAGACACGATTAAAGAAACAGATATAATGACTTTACCAATTACAGCATCGGAAGTGCTACCAAAAGGATCTGTCATAGGCAAGAGGTCAGGGAGCAGAAGAGAAGTGTCAGGAGATTTGAGTCCCTCAATTAGTTTTTCTAGGTTGGGCAGAGAGGTAGAGAGAAAGCAAAAAACAATGAGATATTAAAGCAAGTGGACCACTGACTGCTCTCAGTGCAAACACGTTGTTTCAGAGGCCAACATTTGGTATAAATTCATCATAAAAATGAAAACTAATAGTATCTGTTAATGACAGGCTTCCAAAATTGAAGTTCAAAAATTATTATTTTTCCAAGTAAAACAGTTGTTTTGTAAGACCCTAGTTTACTTGTTTTTATTTGAGGTTTCTTTTTTTAAGAATTATTTTATTTAACTTTATTTATTTATTTATTTTAGTTTGACCAGAGAGGGACAGAGTAAGAGTGAGAGCAAGAGAGAAGGCGAGAAAGCAAGCCACCAGATCTGGGTCAGCCATGTGGAAGTCCAGTGCCCTTAGTCCACGCCACCTGCTGGTCTCCATGTTTTTATGTGAATTTTGACTTACATATAATGGAAGTTTCCAATTCTAAACACACAGTTTTACGAGTTTTGATGGACATAAATATTTATATAATTATCACTGAAATAATGATCTACACAGTTTCCAATGCTTCAAAAAGTTCCCTTGTGTCCCTTTACAGTCAATGCCTCCCTTTCACCCCAGACTCTGGCAATGAATCTGCTTTCTGTCCTCATATTCTCGCCTCTCTCAGAATTGCCTATAAATGGAACAATGCAATACGTAGTGCTTTGTGCCTGGTTTCCTGCATTTAACATAATGCTTTTGAGATGCATCCATGTTGTAGCATGTATCAGTAGTTTGCTGTTTTACTGCTGAGCAGTTTTCCACGGGATGAATGTACTTTTGTTGATCTATTCACCAGCTAATAGACACTTCATTTTCCAGTTGTTAGCTATTAAAAATGAAGTTGCCTTAAACATTAGTGTTTTCCTTCCTGGGATGAGGGATCAATCCTTTTCTCTTTCTCCTTTTTTTTGGACTTGTATTTAGAAACAGTTTATTAACATGTCAAGAGAATCAATTCAACCACACTGAAGTCAAATTTTTCAACAATCATTTATTGTCTGCCAAGTGTGCACCTATTATCAAAAATGGTATTCCTAACTCTTCCATGATCAAATCTCACAAAATCCACTTAAACCCTAAGGTGGGTTACTGCTGTTGTCCTTTGGCCTAAAAATAAAAGAACTTCAAAAGATGCCAGATTTGTCACACCTGGTAACTTAATGTGTGACAACGTATGCACTTCAAGATTTCTTCCAAAATGACTCCTTTACTTCTGGTCCATAAAAAACCATCTATTTACCTTTAACCTGCTATAGGTAAAACATTAACTGAAAGCAAAATAATGAATTACAGAATCTTACAGGAATAAGTGAATTCAGAGCTTACACTTCTACTACTTATGAGGAGATGAAAGTCACATAAATCCTATTATTTGCCTAATTAAAAGCATGTCAATAATTTTTTGTTGCCACAGAAAAAAATTGCTATTAGGATAAAACTAAAATAAAATGTGTAATGGGTTCCATGGCACTCACTGTTGAGATGGTGTGTTCTGGAGTTTGGAACTTCATGGGAGGCCTGGGTTTGATTCCCAGTCCAACCTAAAGGCCGGGCACAGGAGCATGTGTCTGTAATCAGTAACTCAAGCAGGCTATGGCAGGAGGATGGTGAGTTTGAGATGAGCCTGGGCAACAAAGTGAGACCCTATCTAAAAAGTGGACATGCTGGCACACACCAACAATCTCACTTGGGAGGCTAAAGGGGGAGGATGGTAACAAGGCAAAAATCTGTCTTTAAAAAAAAAAAAACGGCACTGGAGCCAGCAGGTGGCAAGGTGGGTTAAGGTACTGGACTCCCACACAGCTGACCAGGATTTGCATCCCAGGCCTAGGGGCTTGCTTTCTCACTTTCCCTCCCTTACCCACCCCCACCAGTGCAAATGCCCTATAACAAATTAAAATATAATAATAATAATAATATAAAATTAAATGAAATCTTTTTAGAAAGCACTTATAGTTCAAGTATGTATATATAACATTTTCATTTTAATAGATTTGTAGTCTTCTAGGCTATTGGGAATTGAGATAAGGAATAAATAAACTGGTCATCATTAAAGGATAGGAACCAAATTTTAGGTGATCTATAACTATATAAATCAAACAAAAGGGTGGATTTTAATGTCTTGGCATGATAATTTATTTTGGTACAATTAACACAGTGCAAAAAGAAAGATTTTTATACATGAAACCAATTTACTGTCCTGTGCAAAAAAAGAGATTTTTATACATGAAACCAATTTACTGTCTTTAGAGTATATGGAATGAGGATACCTTAGAATTAAATGACAATATACTACATTCCTCATTTACACCTGATTTATATTGAAGAAAGGAAGGAAAAAGGAAGTTTCTCAGTAATGGAGGTTAAAAATCTAGGGGGGGGTGAGGGGGGGTGGGAATGGGCGGCAGGTGGCGTGATGGTTAAGGCGCTGGACACTCCCACATGGCCTACTATGGTTCGAGTCCCAAACCTGGTGGCTTGCTTTTTCACCTTCCTCTTTATCTGTGTGTGTCTCTCTCTGGTCAAATTAAAATAAATGAGTGAATAAATAAAATTAAAAAAAAATTATTTAAAAAAATCTAGCAAGGTACTAACCAAGTGTGGAAGTGTAATATGTCAGCATTAACTCTGCACTGTACATGAGATTTCATTATAAGATCTTAAAAATATTTTTGATAATTTTCAGTGTACTGGCAAAAAATTTGTTTTTCTAAAAACCTAATTTTTCATTATTCTAAATAATAATTTTTTGTCTCATTCCTCCCCCTAAAAGCTTTCATTAAAAAAAAGTAAATAGTTGTATCATTCACACAAGCACTCATATATTTGCAATCCTGTGAAGCAATGGATAAAAAGTAAAGACCTCAAGTTACTTATTTAATCTTTCACAGGGCAGTTAATCTTGGGGTTAAAAAACCTCAGGCTAGTGTTCTTTCACATTTAGATTTCTAGCCTCTCCAGTGAGGGACACTGCCTCTCAGTTACTCGGTGGCTGGGCCCCAGAGGCCATCACAGTAACACCACTCACATTTGTAAAGTTTAATGTCAAGTATTTTCATTCATTATTCAACCTCTCCTGCTCCCCAGCGCTGCCTCCCCCACTCTGCCCCTCACCCCCAGGTTTGGAACTATTAATACAGTTGAGAAAAATGTAGTTCAGAGACGTAAGAATGTATGACTTGTCCAAAGTCATGGATGACACATGCTGTAGTGTGGACCTGACTTTAAAGTTGTGTCCACGTGGAAATAGACAAGGTCTGCCTGTTTCCATCAACATAGGGGGAGGGTCTTCACACAGACATGGGTGTGAGCACAACAGTAAAGTTACCGACATGCTGTAGCAGCTTTTGAGGAATAGAAATGCTAAATAAAAAAGTAAAACCTTAAAGGCTTTTATTACAAACTGTCAAACCATCCTTATCGCTAACAGGACATGAGGTGACCATTTTCCCATATCTTTAACAAGGCTGAGGTGGTTATTTTTTTCATTTTTACAAATTTGATAGCATCTCATTGTCCTATGATTGGTACCTCTTAGATCCACCATGATGATAAAGTTATTTAAAGAAGTATTTACTGTAATGCACATTTTTTCTGAACTCTGTATTTTTTTTTTTTTGGGAGAGATTTTCACTGTAGGGCGCGTGCGCTCACCCGACAGACAGAGACATATGGACAGAAAGCGAGAAATCACCCCCCGGCGGGGATGGTCATGCTGCAATCCCTTCTCCTCCATTCTCCTCTCGGGATCTTGGGCACACACGCACACGCGCCCGGCGTGAGTTTTAAGCCACCGGGTCCGGGACGTGAACCGCGGTCGACTACGTGGGAGTCCAGCGCCATAGCCATTACGCTAACTGCTGGTTCCCTGAACTCTGTATTTTTCTGTTGTGGTGTTTCCTTATCACATTCCTATTAGTATACTCAGATTTTTTTTCTCAAGTCTCTAGGGTTATCTGAGTAAAGCCAGCCTATTTGCACAATTGGTAGCAAAATGAACAGCAATGCTGGAAGCCCTAGGACTGACCACAGGTTTGGATCTCTGGGTTGGCCTGAAAACCCAGCAGGCGTGTGTGTGTGTCTAGATGCTGGCAAGCTGGAGGCCTAAGGGATGAGGACTGTAGTATGACCAAACCCTGTTGAGGGTGCTTCTCACTCTCCCAATAAAAACAAAATAAACTTTTAAAAAATGAGCCTGGGTAAGAGCTTAGAGAAGTGCTGAAATCATTGGTTGTTCTTTTATTCACAATAGAGAGTGCACACAAAAAGCGAGGAGACCCAGAGAGAGCATCCGGAAACAAGGTCTCAGGACACTGGGATCACCTTTCCCCAGCGCTTCGGCATGTCAGGATTTTGGACACGCGTGCGCACACAGGCGCATCCTCAGGTCAGTCTGGAAACCGGAACCCAAGGTTGGCCAAATGGCCTCCAGCACTGCCCCTCAGTCTGTCACCAACCATGCCACCAGATCAGGCCTGAAATTATGTTAAAGGACAAGAAAGCTGGACCCTAAAGAAAAATGGACGCAGAATTATTTAGCTTAGGTAATAGAAAGTACAAGTGCTTTGGAAGGAGAGGATTATGCATGTTTCAAATTAAGGGGAGAGGTCAGGGAGGTGGGTCTTCTCTTTTGAGCACTTCCTCCTCTCTTCTAAATGTAACTCAAGTGGCCGAGCAGGAGACATGGGAAGGAGAGAGTGGCTAAAGTTGGGAGTCAGGAATTAATCTGTTTCAGGTTCTCCTCTTATTCCTCCCCTCTCAACACTTAAAATATGAATCACAAGACAAGGCAATAAATCCTTCACAAACCAGTGGAAGGACAGATAATCAAAACTACTTCCTGACATGAGTGGGATATATCGCTAATTGTGACCTTTCTCTTTTAAACGATCAACAGAGAGGATAGACGATCTATTTATATAGGCTAATAAAGCCCAGGGCTTGCTCTAGGCCCTACCTTCAGTAGGAACA